CCACTTCCAATCAACGCTTTAATCTCGAATCCCATTATGAATCTCTTCTTTGAATTGTGCTCTTCGATCTCTCGTTGTATCCCCCTTTCTCATGTGTGGAACTCCTTTTATTAGTGTCTCCTTGTGTCTATTTATACTTCCCTACACGTTCTTGGCCAATTTGGAGAAGGCTTAACAGTTATTAATTTGGTGGACCTCATGTAGCATGAACACGGAATCCCAGATTGCAATAAACCTAAGAAAATCAAACTGTAACAAGGAATTCAGACAGAATATTAATACCAGTCCTGTCCAGGTCCAGCACCAGCATCAGCATGAGCATGTGTTATTAGCCTCCGCCGAATTCTTTGAAATAGAGACCCCTGCCGCCATACCCAGGTCCATTATACTCATCATCACAGTTGAAAAACCACCAGTCTACGCCACTTGATGTCCATGTGTATTTATTATTCTTACCATAAACAAATATTGACTCATGACTTAAAATACACATGTATGGCCAAAATTATTTTTTTTAAAAAATGTGACAGTTAACCCTGCAAAAGTTACCAGTTATACTTCACTGTAACTTTCGACTACATGGTAAAGTTGATCCTATTATTCTTATGTAACACGAGTTTGAGAATGCAATATGTATAATTACCACTTTCGGCACACATGGGAAACATAATTTGCACTTTCAAATTGTAAATTTGAGTACTTGCGGCTATGTATGACATGACAAAAGGGAAAGAAAAACTCGGGAGATGAGAGAGCAGAAGGATGGGATTCTGTGATACATATTCATATACTCCGAGAAGATAAATCAGGCATATGTGCGTTCAAGAAAGGGGAGGACTGACGTACCAACGATAATGTGAGACCACTCTGATATGGCCACAAACTGGTCAAGATGAAACTAGAACTACAACTCACGGACTGAGGTTTCTCTTCTACCGGTTAATACAACAGCAATACATGCCATTACAGTGGCTTCCCTGTCTCTTCAACTTTCTTCCAAGCAGCCTTCCTTGCCTTGAAGGTGACTGACTCCTATTGCTATACAAAGTGGAAAAAGTATGCCAAAGAGGAGGTCCACTTGAAAGGTACGCTGGTCTTTCCATATCAATCTGATTCATTTACATGGTGCAATATGCTATTCATTTCTACATGAGAATATAGTTCCGAAACCTGAAACTTCCAAATAAAGTTTCCAATAGCATTTGTGATGCATCATCCACCAGTCTAAGCAGTTCTCACATCATTTGGAAGAAGGCCATCTTTGGCCATTTCAGTGAGAATTTTAAATACTGCATCCATGTTCCCTTCTTTGTGATTAACTTCAACAAGCACTTTGGCAAGTTACAGCATCCTCACTTTATGGACTTCTTTAATTAGAACAATGACAGTTACAGCATGAGGAATAAGTCCATGATGCACCATTTCCCCATACAGATCAATTGCTTTGTTCAAATTCCCACCTCTACAATGACCATGTACGAGAATATTATAAATTGCTTCATTAGGCTTGATGTTCCTCTGAAGCATCATATCAAAAACTCGATCTGCTTCATTCATCAAACCTTTCATGCAGAATCCCTTTATTAGAGCTATCACACTTTGAAATTCAATACTACTTCAACTTTCCACCAGAAAATCATATGTCAAGTCATGGGGAACAGATTGCTCATAGAACAACTTGAAGAGAAGCCTTTTTGCTTCCTTGCTGTGAGCTTCTTTGTTAAGCCCATTTATTAGCACGCTGTAGGTAACAAAGTCTGGAAAGAAACCCCTTTTGATCATTGCATCATGCAGACGAATAGCATTTCTAAGATCGTCTTCAACACAATAAGCATTAATTAGAGTAGCATATGTATACTTATCAGGTTGCAAACCTTTTCTCCACATTTCTTCAAAAAGTTTGCAAGCTTCAGTCAGTCTTCTCTGCCCACAAAGATCTTGAATTAGCGATGAAAAAGTAATGGCGTCTGGTAAGATTCCCTTCTCAATCTTCTACTCTTTCATTCTGAAAGCCTTATCTAAATCAAAATCCCTACAGTAGTACTGTAAGTTACAACATCCAGCTGTACTCCTTTCCCAGTCATATCTTGAATAACTCGTAAAGCATCTTCCATACTACCCAGCACACAATGCCCACTGATCAATGCAATGTACGTCACACTGGATGGTGAAAATCCCCTGCTAATCATTTAATTCAAAACTCTATAAGCTTCATCCATGAAACCCTGCTGGCAGCACCCATCAATCAAAGCTGTATATGTTTTATCATTAGGACTTAGTCCCCTAGAGTGCATCTGATCAAAGAACTCCATTGCACGACGCAAATTTCTCACTTTACAAATGCTATTAATCAAAGCAGATAGGTCACAACATTGGGAGACAGCCATTCCTAACCATCTCGTCACGAACAACAAGTGCCCGGTGAAAATTCCCCTCTTTACAAAACCCATTTACGAGTGTGTTATAGGTAATCTCGCCTGGCAACAAACCCTTCCTCTTCATCTCCTCAAGAACTTCAACCTTTTCCTTCATCCTCCCATCTCGACACAACCCATTAATTATCAAATTATACTTAATTACATTTAGCTCCAAATTCTTCTCCCACATGAATTTCATCAATTTAAAAGTCTCATCGATATTCCCCAATTTACAATAAGTGCTGATTAAAGTATTATATGTAACCACATTTGGCACACAGCCCTTTCTCTCCATTTCCTTGAAAAATTCTAAACCTTTACTCAATTTCTTATTTCCACAAAACCCCCTAGTCAATATATTATAGGTAAACACATTAGGCGAAACCCCATAATTTATCATATCATGACACAATTTTTGAGCTAGCTCAACATATTCATTCACCGCAACCCTAATTATTGCATCAATAACAGAATTATACGATAATACACTAGGCATAAACCCGTGAGATTTAGCTAAATTTATCATATTTAGAGCTGCATCTATCATTTTCAAATTAGAGTACGACTTAACCATTAAATCAAATACCGCTGAGCTCGAATTGCACAAGTGGTACAACTTCCTGAGGTATTCAAAAAGCGAAATTCCCTTTGCATCATCCGGGAAATATACGGCGACACCCTCGGCGAGTGACTGGGCGGTCTCGTAGAGCTTGAAGGGTGTGAGGATGTGAATAGCAATGCACTTGCATTGGAGGTCGTCGAAAAAGGGGAAATTGCGAGCGTTGAGGATTTTAGGATTAGCTTTTGGTTTTTTTGCGACTGGAAGAGTAAATATGTGGCGAATCAAGGGGTAAAATAGGGAACTAAATAGAGGATAGGTGGTGGCGCTTGAGGATGGCTATAGCTTTCTCCACAAGGAGAGCGTCCGGCGGAGAGGAAAGTGGCGGCGTCGGTAGTGGTGAATTTATGGATATGCGTCGGAAATGTGCGTGAATTTATGGATATTTGCCGGAAATGTGAGTGGCGGAGGACTCGGTGTAAGGGTTTATGGAGGGCATATTGGGGAAGATGAACCAGAAAATATTACGACAAATTGTGCAGCTTTAACTGGGCTATCCCGTTTCAAAAGAGTAATCATACTTACAGTCGGAAGTCGTCATGTGTGGCATACACATGACATGTAGTTATTTGATTCATTAAATGTGGTCTACCACATTTAATGCATCAAATACATACTTAACATATGTGTACCACATATGACGATTGCTGCAGTGAGCGAGTAGCATTATTCGTTTCCAAAAGCTCGTGAGTGACGTTGGTCAAGTCATCACAAACAGGGAGCCATAGGCCGAGCGGAGCCTAGATCCGGCTCAGCTAGTTGACCAGCGAGTATAGCTCGACTCCCACCTCACCCGTCCTTTAACTTTAAGCAATTTTATTGTGAGTGGACTTGAGTGGGCTCCCGCCAGAATATGAGCCGGACAAGCACCCCAGTTTCGAAATTGGGAAGAATTCATGGATCAAATTTTAACTATCACCAAAAAAGAAAAATCACAATTTATTTATTGATCACATTTTATCAAATTAATTGGTCACGGATTATTTTTCGATCACAAATCAGAAAATTTATAGGTTACAATATTTTACGGCCACAGATTAAAATTTTCACAAGTCACAAATCAAAAAATTTAACATGTCACAGGTCAAAAATCACAAATATTATAAGTCACAAATTATTAAATTATCGTCACAAATTAATAATTTTTTAGGTCATAAATTATTTTTTCATTGGTCACATATTGTTTATTGGTCACAAATTAATTAATTTAATGGTTATAATCGATCAAATAATTGGTGACCACCACCAATACTTGTGACCTCCGGCAGCACCACCGACTCCGGAGCTCCAGAACCACCGCCACTGCTGTCAAACCACCGTCGCCAGAACCACCACCACCACCTCACGACAATTAGGAACACCGTAATCTCCATCTCTTCACCACCATCACCACTTTTTAACCACCACCAACACTTGCGGCCTCTGATGCGCCGAACCACCACTATTGCAGCCAAACAACCGTCTCCAGAACCACCACCACCTCACGACAACCAGTACGAACACCGTACATTCCATCTCCTCACCACCACCACCACCTCATCCTCATCCTCCTCACCACCACAACCACTAATAAACCACCAATTTCACCACAAAACCACCACCACACAAAACACAACACCACCCCCAACCGCCAGATCCACCACCACAAACCCCGTCGCCACACAAAATACCGTCGCTGCACAAAACACTGTCGGTACAGCAACGCAACGTTGCGGTGCTTTAACTACAAAGAGTCGCTGAATGGGTAGACCTACGTCGCAACTTGCGACAATTCGCTCTCCTTCTGGGGTGAAATAGATTGAGGGTGGTTATGAGGTTGGGCAACGACAGCGAATGGCGACAACAGAAAGGTAAGGAGTGATTGAAGCTTCTGTCGCGTCGCACACACTTTCATCGTCGTGATTGAAGCTCCTGGTCAACGATATGAATTGACAGTGATGATGGGGCTGGGTAACGACGGTGGGCAGCGGCAACGAAAATGTGAGGAGTTCGTGGTAGAAAAAGACAACGACGAGGACGACGGGAAGGTTAGAGAGAATGGAGGGATGCGATTGGGTGGGTTTAGATAGAAAATGGGGAAAATATTTGAGGCCGAGCGTGTTTAGAGAGAGAGGGAGAGAAATAAATTAGGGTTTTAATTATAAATTCAATTTATAACTGATTTTTTAATAAACTTAGCCCCAGTTTGGATCACCTTATTTTCTTATTAAAATAGAAAATATGATAGTTATTCATCACATCAACATTTAAATTCAAATTTTTTATCTTTTATGTGGACTTCAATAACAATTATATTTTTCGTTCTCATTTTTACAAAAAGGTGTTTGACCATTAAAATAAGTTTTTTGAATTTGAAAAATTAAACGCCTATTTTTCTGTAATTTCCTCTTCCAAATTTATAATCCTACTAGTGATCGTACGTGCGATGCACGTTCTGCAATTTAGTTGGGTATTTAATAGCGTGGAGTGATTTTGAATTATTTTTCCCGATAATGTTGAAAGATAAAAATGTGTGCCTTTTGGTCCAAACTAATGTAGAAAATTATTAGTACAATGTCAAGAGGAGTTCAAAATACAATTCATTCCAACCTTTAAATGCAAGAAAAAGTAAATGAAGTGACAAATTAATCGATTCTAAAAATATATACATGATCATTCCAATACTTCAAAAATCAGTCCAAGCCTAAATTGAATGTTCATACAAAATGAAATCAAACACTCACCACACTTGTCAAGGAACCCCACAATCTTGAAATGGACCGTAGTGGCATCAATCCCAAGAAGCTGGCCTATTAGTAATGAGAGTGAGTTAAGCAAAGAAGTACAAATTAAGAAACTTATGATATCTTGTATCATTTACATGGGAAACATGGAATTACTTTAACATCAGGGTGGAACTCCAATTCAACTCCTTTTTCCCTT